CACATTTATCCGTTCACAGTAATATTTCTTTTAGAAAAACCTATTATATGCATTTAATAAAGATACAAAAAGCAAAAAAAAATATAAAGATATACTATATATGTCTCAGCTTATAACATCAGCTTAAGAAAAATAATAAAAGTTATCTGATTAGAGTTATGAGAGAAAAAACAAATAAAATCAATATTGGTAGTATTATACATATATACTAAATTACAAAAAGCTGATAAAGAATATTATTTTCTGATTTTAAAAAAATTGTTTCTGATTAAAAAATAGATAAAAAAAATCAAGAAAATGTTAGATAATAGATCAAATTGAAAACTTATTCAGATAAATATAGTAATATTGAAGTATATATTTTTGTCAAGCTTTTAAAAATTCTTATATTTCTACTTTCAAAAAACTTGCAAATATAAAATGCACTATTATTTTAGATAATCATATACTTATAAATTCAGAAACAAATAAGCCTTTAGAAAAATGTCTTCAAGATATATTAGATACATATTTTACATATTAGGATAGATATACAAAATATTTTAAATGAATTTTTAGAGCTAAGAAATTCAAGCTATACTTAAATATTGTTAAGCTAAATGGAATCCCAATGCTTATACTAATCTACACTACTCTATCAAAAGTATCTGGTCAATCAATTTAAAAATTATATTTTATTATAATATTATAAATTTTTAATATTTAGTTTGCCATCCTTAACTTTCAATACATGCTTCTATCCAACATGGCATACTTTCAATTAAATTAATATAAGTTTCAGATGGAATTTTTTTCCATTCTTCTTGCAATACTTTTTCGAATTCATATAAATTTTTTGGATATTCTGATCGTTTTCGAAGTCTTCATTCTAGTTCATGCCACAAATGTTCAATAAGATTAAGGTCTGAAGATTGAAAAGGCCAATTTGAAAGAATCTTAATCTTTTTCTTTATAATCTAATTTTTGACATCCCTTGCAGTATGAACAGGAGCATTATCATCCTAAAATGCATAAGGCTATTTACGATGTTTAGAATAGATGAATGATAATAAATTTTTTTCTAAAATATCAATGTAACCATATCTATTCATTTTACCATCTACTTTTACCAATGGTCCCAATCATTTTCCTGAAAAACATCCCCATACCATAACACCTCTACCACTATATTTAACCATTGGTGTTAAATTTTCAATATTGTATCGGATTTCATCTTTTCGCCAAATACGAACAGAATCATTATTTTAAAAAAGGGTAAATCTGAACTCATTACTCCAGATGACAGTTTTTCACTGTCTAACTGACCAATTTTGTCATTTCATATACCATGACAATCGTTTTTCATATTGAGTTTCAGTAAGAAGTGGTTTTGATGCAGAAACTCATGAATTAATAAAGGTTTTACGAATGGTTACAGCTAAAATTTTTTTATCTTGTGAACTATTAAATTTTTGTTGAATTTCTTCAAGAGAAAGTCAATTGTTTTTTTTGACAATTTTTGAAAGATTATAACGATCATTATTATTCATGAAATATGGTCTTCTGGTTCTTTTAACTGTTAATCTATTGTTGAGATTTTTGTATCGAGAAATTGTGTCTGTAATAATACTTTTTAGAATTTTTAAGACACAACTAATGGCTTCATGAATCCTTCCTCCTATCCAAAATCCAATGACTTTTTCACGCTCAAATTCATTTAATTTGCAATTTTTTCCTATATTTTGAAGGTGCAGTAAAAAAGTTAAAGATCATCACTACGCAAAATTGATTATTATTTTTATTTTTATTACCAAATTTGGTGTATACATTATAACAAAAAACAAATACATAAATTTTATTTGTCAAAACTGGAGCATTTATTTAAAAAAAAAATTTAAATTAATTAATATATCTGATCTCAAAATAATCAAAAAGAGCTTGACCAGATACTTTTGATAGAGTAGTATATTTACGTATATTTAATAAATTAAGAAAATAATCCTAAAATCTCTATTAATATCTAAAAGTAAAAAGAAGAATCAGTTACTTTTAAATCTGTAATTGCAAGTAAAAATTTTTATATTTTAAATTTATATAAAATAGAAAATTATAAGCATAATAATCTAAATAAATACTAAGAAAAAAAATCTTATATAATCTAATTTATGGCTCTTACAAATATTAACAAATTTGAGAAAATAGGTAAGTACAGGTAAAAGAACTATTTTTCTAGATCAAAAAACTAAATGAATTAATCTACAAAAACATTATGCATTATAATAAAAAGTATCTTTATAACTGATACTTTCAAAATTTTTCTTTAGAAAAATCTTTAGTTCATTATCAGAAATAATATTTCATATTAGATAAAGCTCCTCAAAGATTTACTTTATCTGTTAGAAGAGTTAATAATTTTAAGAAGTTCAATGTTTTTTTATAGCTGACTTTAAAATTGATAATAAGAAATGTAATGAGAAATATAGTAAAAATATATAGAAATTTGCAAAACAGAAGGCTAATATTTATTACCTAGTTCATTAGATTAATATTTAGAAATCTTTTCTATATTAGAAAGAAAATGCTATACAGAAATTTATCTGAAGAATTAATCAAGAGTTAATTAAAATCAATAAAATCTTAGCTATTAAGACTAATCAAATTGAGATTAAGAAAGATAGAAAAATTTGCCAAAGTAAAAATTTGCTAGATATATAAGGAAAATTTTATTATTAATAAGAAAAAAGTAAATTAATTAGAAAGAAAAAAAGACTTTATTAATAGAAAGATAAAAAGTGACTAAGAATATAAAAGAATATAAATTCTTAATCATAACACTTCTGAAAATAGTAAAGAAAATCAAAGTCTTAAAAATTAGAAATAATAAAGTTTAGGATCACTATCATATCAGGTAAGTTTCAAAAATCAGCTTATAATACCTATAATTTTAAATTCTAAATTAAGATATAAAAATACCTATTCTAATAATCTTTCATAACTTCTGAAATATAATTCTTATTTAATTTGTGAATCTATTAGTTATTCAATATGTAATAAATTAAAGTTATAGTTAAAATATTTGAATGATATAAATATATAAAGATAAACCAGTTTAAATATATTGATAATAAGCAGTTTATGAACAGTAGTTTGCCAAACTTACAAAAAATTTAGGTGATAACCACCTAATAACAAGCCAATATTTTAAAAATTAGGCTATACAGAGAAATAATTAGTATTAGTATAGTCAACTCTTAATATAGTGAACTTTTGATATAATGAATTTTTTGAACAAATATAATAAAATTATTCTTATTATAGCAAATTGACCAATCAAATCTCTTAAAATTTTCACTATAACCTTATAGTGAAGTTGAAGTCTAAGATATAGAGTTTGTTATAACAAGAGTTGATTGTATATTATGAAGAAGTTTATCCCTATAAATATATTAATTTATATGATAAATTTAAGAAAATTGAATTTTTATTAATTCATAAATTTATTATAGCAAAATTACTTAAGAAGATTATAAACATATTTAAAATTTAAAAAGTATAAAAAGAAATTTAATTGCAAGAATCTAAGTGAGTATTATGATATTTATCTTAAGACTAATATACTTAGTCTTGCAAATATCTAGACAGAGTTCTGAAAAATATCTATAGAATATGATAAGTTTGATCTTAGTTACTATATTTTTCTTTCTACATTATTTTAGGATTTTATACTTAAGATGATAAGCATTAAAATCGAACTTATTATAGATATAACTATATATAACTTTATTTAAAAAGATAAATATAGTGGAATATCTATAGCTAAATATTGTTACTTTAAAGCAAATAATCCTAAAATAAGGAATGTATATAATCAATCAACTTACAATCTGAATAATATATCAATATAACAAATCTTTATAGTTAGATCATAAGTTAGTACTTACCTATTAGAAATTATTAATGGGAAGTTAATCAGAAATATTTACTTAAAAATCTAGCTATGCAAAAGCAATATTTTAAATATATTTTTAAAATTAAGACAAATGCTTTATGAGGTATTTTCTAAATATTAAAGCCCACATTTTCTAAAAATTTATAACTATTTAAGTGACTTGTCTTCTGTTATGAAGAATATTATTATAGGAAAAAATATGTATATTTATATATTACTGAGTTTATAGATAAAATATATGAAGAATACTTTTAAACAACAGAAAAATTAGTTCTGCATCATGTTTCACAAAAAGATTATGTCATCTATTACTAAGAGCTTTAATACTATATAAATTAAAAATGATTGTAAATGATATTATAGACATCCTATTATTTGATCAGGATAATTAGCTTGCTTCCTATATAGTCTTTAATATAGAGAAATATAATAAAGCTAAAAAAGCTGAAAATACATTTTTAAGTGATTTATTCAAATTCAAGATTAATGCTTTATTTGAAAAAATATCAAGATGTTAAGCTCATAAGATGAATAATGAGCAGGATGAAAATGCTTTCTTAAATAAGATTCATAAACTTTTATTCAAATATGCTAAGTAACTTAAAAATACATTTGTAGAAGTACATTTAGAAAAAGCTAATGTAATTTTCATTATAGTTAGAGTATCTGTTTTAAGACTTAGCAAGCTTTATATATACGAATTCTAATATGAATATATAAAAGAAAAATATAAAGATAAAGCCTTCATTTTGGATATATAGATACAGATTCAGAGATGATAAATTTTTGTGATGATATAAAGTAAATTTTGTGAAATTTTATGATTTGGCCGGAATTAAGCAAGGTTGGCCAACATTACGACTCGTAAATTCTGCCCAAATTTAGTGTTTACCGGAATTACAATGATTGCAAATCCTAAATTAGGCCCCCCTTTCACCCCTGCATATAAATCTAACTGCTCAACACAAATTTAAACCGTATTTTCTTCGTAGACGTGTTTAGAAAAAAATGAAAACACTTTTTTTCAGAATGCTCGGACTGGAATTTTATAAACTTTTTGAAATTTCGTCAGATGGAAGATAATTGGTCAGCAGATAAGCAGAAAGAACATGGCACATATACTAAAACTTTAGGCAAGATTGCAGGCAGTGAATCAAGCGAATACCGATCTATGGCAGTTTCTGCTTTAAAAAATTTTCCAGTTAAGTGAAAAGCTTCATTTCTGTGAGGTAAGGTGGGCTTGGAGCTTGCAGGCATCCAAGTTGACTATCGTGTTATACCACATCACAACGACTTGACAATCTGATCATCTTCCATACCAAGTCGTTGATGAACTATCGTGTTCGATGCTGGCTACCTTTCCTTTATCACATCACAGCACTCAACAATCTGAAAAGATCTATCCGTATGCGATATGACTTTTCTAGGCTAAGTCACTGTTGAACTATCGCGTTCGATGTGTCTAAATATTGTACTTGCTGATAGTCATGTTAATATTAAGTGAGTTTTGACGATTAACAATATTATTTTTCATGATTTCTAGCAAGATGTAGAGAAGTTAAATAGGCGAAATAAGATCAACAATTCAAAGGTAGGTGTGCTGACAAGCCTCATTTCCGCTGTTTCATATAATGAGGAAAAATATTAGTAATATATTTATCTTCTTTCCAGGAAAAATATCTTGATCTCTCGAAGAATCTATCTATGAAGTACTAGATGATACTAGATCATATGTTGTTGCATATGTTAAAGCAGAAGCAAGTCTGCTGGAAGTGAGATCCCAACTCGTTACGATCGAAATAAATCAAATCAAGGTCAGAATATTGTCTTTGATTCTGGTCATGATGAACAAAAGCAAACAATGCGAGTTCGCTTTCATTAAGAGAAGCCTCCATAAAAAAAGAAATCTAAATCAGGCAAAAGAGCCAGCATATAACTTGAAAAAATCATCTCTCACAAAAAGGAAAATCGAATTATTTTCTTTATAGGGTGATACGTTACCTGACGGTACGAAGATTACGAAGCCATCACCTATAAATTATGCATAAACGGATGAAGGTGATGAAACCGGTGATTGGATTCCTTCGAATGAAGCTAATGATTATAGCGACGATGATGAAGAGGCTTTGCCTCCAGAAGACTCTCTTTCTTTTGCCCTTTCGAACTCAAAAGTTTGGACTTTGCCTTCGGGAAAAACGTCGGTGACTTTTATTTCGAAAAAACGCACGCACAGTAAAAAAATAAGAAAAGACTAACGGCAATTGAAAAGGCTATATTGCGATATGGTGCATCAAGGATAATTGATTTATCCGCTCACATGAAAAAGTGGTCATGCGAAAACGATAAAAAGTTCATTAAGAAAGATTACGAAGCTTTGTTGCGAGTTCCCGAAATGATAGGCGAAGAGAATTTATTTGTTCTAAAAGTCGAGGATGTACGAGTTTTGTTTATCTTAAATTATCTTATTTGTCTATGGATGCATATACTTATGAATTCATTACTCTATGTAGATGGTATATAAAGGAAACGTAAGCCAGGCATATAGATACTGTTCGGAAATCCATTCAAGTTCAATCTAAAATAGTTACTTATATAAAATAAGTAATATATATGGAGATTTGTGAGTTATTTGATTGCTATCTAAGATATTTATTTTTTCGTGATTCTTATTCTCACAATTCAACATATACAGTATTTACAAAAGCAAAGATCAAGAAGATATTTAGATTTTACTACAAAAGGTGCACACACAGAAGTCGACGTAATCTTAAAAGCTTGTGCGTACATTGTTGAGGGGCTTAACAAGAGCCTCACAATTTATCCAAGATGGTTGGTATAATATTGTTTGCTTTTATTCAAAATAATATAGCCGTTTCACAAGTCATAATTTATAATCTATGCATTCAAGGCAGTGTTGGCCAACTGGACCAAATTGGACTAACTGGACTTATAAAACTGGACCATTGGACTTATAATTTCCAGTAACTG